AAATTAGATAGGCTTAAGATATATTCAAAAGGCAAAAGAGAGGGTAATAATGTTTATTGTAACTTTTTTTTTCTTTTTGGGAGTGTGTAAACTGGAATGAATTGATCTGATTAGTGTAAAAATGTTTATATGGTTTTTTGGTATGTATGCTGTATAGAAAAATGATTAAGCATAATGATAAAATATATTAGAAACTAATGTTGGAAAATACCTAAGAAATGAGTGCAGAATACTGGATGTTAGAGTACTTTCTCAAAGTAAAACTTATTAAAGATGTTATCAATTTTGTTAAAGGACAATCCTGACTTGAACAGTTGGGAGGTAGACAATGAAAATACTGAAATAGTAATAATAAAAATAAAAAAATAAAAATAATATTAAACTAAAATAACATAAAAATTCAAAACCTATGACTTGTTTATTATCATAGAAACATGAAATCTATTGTATATTGGAATCAGTAGGAATTTTTCCAGCATTTGTCTTGAGAGAACAATGTTGATTATGAGAATCTTAAAAATGATTACTAATGGATATATGTACTTGATAATTGCTCTAGTGATTGATTAGAAGAAAAATGTAATTATGCTTGTTTGACCTGTTGCTATTTAGAACTTATCCGTAATATAGGGTGTTAACTGGATGGATTGTTTATTTAAAATATGTTATAGGTGTGTGCATTGTAGTGAAAACCCAATAAAAATATTTTTTAAAAATAGTGGTGGCTCCTATTTAAAGGCCTGACAGAAGAGCTCAGTCTTATAGGCCCTGCGGAACTGTCTACCATAACATCATTAATCAACCTTACAGGGGTGCATAAAGATGTTAAACAACATCGGGGACAGTACTGCACCCTGGGATACCCCACACTCAAGTGGGCATCTCCTGGACTGCTGTTCCCCAAGCACCACTCTTTGTCCCCGACCCTGGAGAAAGGAGACAAGCGACTGTAAAATGAGCCCCTGTGTTTCCACGTTGGCGAGGCGGTGGGCAAGCAGCTGGTGATCAACCATGTCGAACGCAGCCGACAGGTCTAGCAACAGCAACGCCACCGACCCGCCCCAATCCAGGTGCCTACAGAGCTCGTCAGTAAGAGCGACCAGCGCCATCTCCGTCCCGTGACCTGGGCAAAAACTGGACTGGAAGGGATCTAAAGTAGAAGCGTCATCCAGAAAACCCTGAAGCTGTCCTTCCACAGCCCTCTCAATCAATTTGCCCAAATAGGGCGAATTGGAGACCGGCCGATAGTTGGCCAATTCGGCCAGATCCAAAGATGGTTTTTTCAGGAGAGGACGGACCATCGCCTCCTTGAGAGCTCCCAGGAACCGTCCCTCAGCGAGAGATTTGTTGATAATCTCCCTAAGAGCACCTCGAAACCCCTCATGGCCCGCTTTAATGAGCCAGGAAGTGCACGGATCAAGGACGCACATTATGCTTCTTACATTTTTTAACAGATGTTTAACATGCAACTGGGGTAACAATTAAAACGAAAGTATGTTAAATAGAAATACACCTGGCCCCAAAACCATGGAAATAGGTACAAGATGGTTTATGTTTCTCTTTTAAATTGTTTATGATGACCTATCAAATTCTGTTTTTGTGAGATTATTATACAGCTTGATTTTATGCTTCTATACAAGTAGATTTGCAAAACTTTTTTTTAAAATGGTAAAATATTATTTCATGGATGCTCAAGCTTATCTTCCCAATACACATGTACACAAAGGAGCTCCACAGGTATGACAGTCGTGCAGCCTGGTGGAGGAGCCTTCCTATGCAAAACACGTACCAGAAAGACTGGCATGATCTTCAGTGGAACGGTGTGCACGTGTGTTATAATAAATGCACTTGACAAAGCAGACAGATCTTTAAATGCAGCTACAATACTTATCGGGCATGCTAAGCTATTTCGCAATATCTAACTGGTCAGTGTCGACTGATTATCTCCCAAGCCCCAAATTGCAACAAACTTAACACTTTTATATTTTAGAGTTACAAGTTGATATGACTCAAATAATGTAATCCTCACAACAGCCCTTTTTACATTTGTAGCTTGGCTTAGAAAGAACTGATATTTTAACTCTGACACTCCAGAATGGAATGACTTGAATATTAGGGGCTCACATATGCTGCTTTAAATACCCATGCCTACTTTTGGTAAAACCAGGAAGTCAAAATCTGTAATTACAAGCACACAGAAAAAAGCCATGCAAAGCAGCCAATATATACAACAAATAAACAATAGAGCTATACTACATGAACCAACATCAGAATATCTGCTCATATTTGCTGATTATTATTATTATAACTATGTTTTATATTGGCGTATGCCTCCGTGTAAGCCGCCCTGAGCCCGCGTAGCGAGGAGGGTGGGGTATAAATTGAACCTATAAATAAATAAATAAATAATTATTTAAATGAAGCGAGCTGTGTATGCACACATATGTAAAGGAAAGGATGTCGCTATGATGTCCCAACGATACACTTTATTTCACAATATTTTGGCAGTTTAAGGTGCCACTGGAGAGTAGTAAAATAATTTATATTTTGTTATAATTAAGGGTGGGATATCCATAATAAGGATGGTCACAAACCAAAATCTGTGACGAACTGGGCCCAGTTCATGGTTCATGAACCTCAGTTTGTGCCATCCTCCCCTCACAAGCCACACGAACCTGCCATGAACCTTCCAGGGTGGGCTTGTGTGTTTCATGTCAGCAGACATGCTGGCACTGGGCTTGAAGAAGGCATTAAAAGAGACTGCAGTCTCTTTAAATGCCTTCTGCAAGCCATGCTGCCACAGCTGCACAGCTTGCAAAAACCATTTAAAGGGATCCCTTTAAATGGCTTTTGCAAGTGGCCGCCACACAAGTGATGTCTAAGCCGTGAGTTCACCACTTCCAGGTGAACATACCGCTTGGACTTCACTTGGAACCCTTTAAATGGCTTTTGCAAGCTATTTCAGCAATCCCTCTCGCTCCCCCACGCTTGGAAGCGAAAGGGTTAGCTGAAATGGCCTGCAAAAGTCATTTAAAGGCAACATTCCTTTTAAATGCCTTTTGCAAGCAGGCACTGCTGCCAAGTGAAGTCCAAGCAACAAGTTCACCAGGAAGTGGTGAACTCACTGCTTGGACTTCACTTGTGTGCGGCGCACACTTGCAAAAGCCATTTAAAGGGAATATTCCCTTTAAATGGCTTTTGCAAGATCTTTCCCCCACCCCTCCATTTTGCTGGCCTCGAGGAGCCATCACCAGCAGAAAGGAGGAAGGGAAGATCCACAAACTTCACAAACCGAAATAATTCACAAACCGGTGGAGGTTCGTGCCCATCCCTAATCCAGAATACATTAAAGACAAACAAAGGTGGTAGCTTTCCCATCTCTCCCTTCCCCAACAAACGCAGCATCTGATTACCAAGTAGGAGATAAATTCCAAAATAAATAAATAAAATAAATAAAGACAAACAAAGGTGGTAGCTTTCCAATCTCTCCCTTCCCCAACAAATGCAGCATCTAATTACCAAGTAGGAGAATAGTCAAGAACAGCAATACCTCTTTAAGGTAAGCTTGGCCTAAAGGCATGATAATCAACAGACTGTCAAACTGAGAATACTTTTGTTGCGATGCAGACATGTCTAAAGGGGGGGGGGGGGGGATCTGCTGATAGCGGAGGGATGGCAAGAGTGGAGCACACAGGGTGAGTAGTGACCACCAGCCAAAAAACCTAAAGCTAAAACAGTGTGCTGGGAGATGGGGCTGCTGAGCATTCGGTTTATGGCGACACACAGGCCAGGGTGAGTAGTGACCACCAGCCAAAAAGCCTAAAGCTAAAACAGTGTGCTGGGAGATAGGGCTGGTGAGCATTCAGTTTATGGCGACACGCAGTCAGACGCATCTCCCGGACGTCCTGGGGATGTAGACTGCACACCAGACTGCACCAGCGTGTAGGAGGGGGTGTGACAGGCCACGACCCACCCGGAGCCTTGGTAAAAAGCTCCTAGCCAGGGGGCTTTTGAGGGGCAACCCCTTCAATGGCATGATGCCCGAGGATGGAGGCGCTCCTCCACCTCGAAGGTCCTGCCGCTAAGTGACCGTATGGTGTGAGTGCTGCTGACCGGGACAAGAATTGGAGATAGGGCGGAAAGAAACAGATGCCGAGCGAGGCTGGTTGGCCAACAATGAACTGTGAGTCGGGTTGAAGAGAACATGAAGATTTAAATAGAAAGCTGCCCCACATAAAGAGCGATGGGAAGAGAGCGGGGGAGGGGCCCCTCCCAAACGCATAAACGAAAACACGAAATAAAGAGGGGGGAGCGGAAAAATAAGTGTTTGGAACTGTTTTCAGAGACTTACCAGAGCGCAGATAAGCATTTGGGCGAAAATCAGAGACTTTAGCAACTTTTCGATAAGTAAACAAATCCAAAAAGATGGCGGGGAAGAAACCGGAG